CTGCAAAGGGGTTTCTGTCTGGGAAAGAAAGGGATTGTGTCTTGTTTTAGAAAAACATCTAAAAGGATTTTCTCTGCCTAACAATGTTATCTTTCCAAGATGGTTATCTCCATATGAAAGGCATCCTGATAGGAAAAATTCAAAGCAACAGGATCAACTTCTGTTCTTAACAGGGCTCAGATCTCAATAAATCTACACAATTTATTTTAATTATTAATAAACCACTGACAGTTTAAATAGAAGAAGAAAATATTTATTTTATTTGCATGTTGTTGAACTTTTATGTAAAATTATATTTTTTTAATGTTCAAATACATCTATATTTTTTATAAAAAATATCTAAAAAGAAACTGTGGTAACTCTGCTAAGGCTCTATGGTGATTTTTACTGAGTTTTGTGGCTTTCTTTGTCAGCTAGGTTTAAAACTGTGTTTTTCTCTTTCAGACTCTCCTCGCTGACTTCTCAGAGAGGATTTCTGGGGAAAACAGGAATTATGGTGTCTAAAACATAAGTCTCTTAACTTGTTTATTGAACTGTTCAATATCAGAATCAATATCACATTGGTAATCATGGTATATTTGGGGGGGGAAACAGTACTCTTTGTGTGAAATTGATTAACTATATGAAGTGGTATAAATATATATACATTGTCTGCCCCTATTTATGATTTATTCTAGATGTATTTTAATAGATTGAATCATATGCAACAGCCCTCTACGGACACCTTGGCAATTGAATCACCATTGGCTAGTAAATTTTTTAGTTTACACTTCGCTGTATGTGCACATATATGCATGTGTGTGTGTGTGTGTTCCCACATGTCTCTGTGTGCGCCTGGGCATGAATGTGTGTTTTCATGCATGTAAGATTGTTTATACGGAAGCTGTTAATATCATGATCTCTGCTTTACAAGACTGTCTCATTTAAAGTCCCATCAACAGAAACACCAGTCTACCGGAGTCAAACCCATTGGAAATCCCTGGACCAGAATTAAGCATGACATGTCTATGCCTGTGTTCACATCGCCAATCAAACAGGCTTCAAATCCTCTCTTCGTTCGGCTTTCTCTGTGTTTGTACGTGCATACGCATTTGATTAGCAGCAGTGGATCGGTTTGTTCTGTCTAATCCAGGTTGTCTACTATTACACTCTCTAAAAATAAAGGTTTAATGTTGACATCTATGGTCCCATGAAGAACTTTAACTGTCATGGAACCTTTTCAGGTTCTTCATAGTGGAAAAAAGTTCTTTAGATTTTTTAATAGGTTCTTAACCCTAAGGAAAAAAATGGTTCTTTTAAGAACTGTTTACTGACAGGTTTTTTGGGGGAAACCAAAGATGGCTTTTCTATGGCATTGCTGCAAAAACCCTTTTGGAACCTTTTTTTTTAATCGTAATTTACATAAAAAGGAGGTGAGTGTGCACTAAAAATAATGATAATGGCTTGCAGTAATTTAAATACAGTGCAGTACTATTTCAGCGAATTTAGTGACGTTTTTTGTCACTAGACAAATAAAAAATAAAAAGACCTCTGTTAATCCATAACGGAGGCCTTAGTCCAAACTAATACCTCATATCTAATCTAACATAATTTTGGAGATTTGGCAGACACTCTCAATAATGCTGAACATTAGCAGCATGTGTCATACTGATTTCATAAGTCTCCTGCACCAGAGCACTGTGTAAAGACATTTAAGGAAATCCTGCTATTTATTTTAATGAGAAAAGCATAAAAAGAAAGAAAGGTAAAGAATCCTAAATGGATTAGATCTGGCCTTGCTGCACAAACTTCATTTAGTCATATCTACTTGATAAAATTGGGTTATAGTCATCATTTTAATAATGTTAAATTGACAATTTTTTGACGTTGTTTGTCAGGCATATACTATTGTTAGCAAGCTCTGAGCTAGTGGTCTCAGAAAAAGATGACATCTTGCAATGTGCAAAATGCTTGTTAAAACAAGATTTTCAACCAGCTATTCCGTAAAATGCAATAAACAAACACCAATGACAACCACATATTTAAGGAAAGAAATACACCCAATAACTCAAAGAGGCAACAAACACAACTCAACAAGTGATTGTTCCAGTTATAATGTGACAAAAAAGTTTTCTACACCGAGCATGTCCATTGACATGCTGTTTACACTGGACACATCAAAGCAAAACTTCCAAAAAGATCACCTCAATGGTAAGTCTATAAGCCATTTATCAATTTGTCAGAAGTAGCGCAAGTACATCAGAAATAGAACAGGCATCTGTCGGCGCTACGCAACGCAGTGCATCCGGTGTAAACAGCGATTATAATGTATATTTGATTATAATGGATTCCATTTTCATTTGACAGATGCAACGCTACGCTCTCAGCTTTTGTCAACTAAGATCATCAAGCATCAAGAAAGAGAAATATGAAACATAAAAAGTAAGAGACATAAATTGATAGATTGATGCTTTCAGTCAGTGGATGAACATCTTCACACTTCCCACTTGTTTTTTTTGTTTTGTTTTTTTTAGCACTGATGAAGGATTAAAGTTTTTTAAAGGATTAAAGTGTATGTTTTTAGTCTGCATCACAGAAAGTTAGACATATACTAAAGGTTACACACAACCTGCAAAGGGGTTTCTGTCTGGGAAAGAAAGGGATTGTGTCTTGTTTTAGAAAAACATCTAAAAGGATTTTCTCTGCCTAACAATGTTATCTTTCCAAGATGGTTATCTCCATATGAAAGGCATCCTGATAGGAAAAATTCAAAGCAACAGGATCAACTTCTGTTCTTAACAGGGCTCAGATCTCAATAAATCTACACAATTTATTTTAATTATTAATAAACCACTGACAGTTTAAATAGAAGAAGAAAAGATTTATTTTATTTGCATGTTGTTGAACTTTTATGTAAAATTATATTTTTTTAATGTTCAAATACATATATATTTTTTATAAAAAATATCTAAAAAGAAACTGTGGTAACTCTGCTAAGGCTCTATGGTGATTTTTACTGAGTTTTGTGGCTTTCTTTGTCAGCTAGGTTTAAAACTGTGTTTTTCTCTTTCAGACTCTCCTCGCTGACTTCTCAGAGAGGATTTCTGGGGAACGAGGGGCTTTTGATAACCAACCCAATAGGGATGCTCTTACTCTTTCTCTCTCGCTCTGCCTCTCTCCATAGTCCCGTTTGAATGCTGGGATGGGAAGAGGATTTGGGGGGGATGGGTGAATGAGGGGCAGGGGGTGGACTATAGGCTCTATTTTTCCATGGACTCCATCCATCTCAACTGCATATTTCTGTCAGGTCCTGGGAGATGAGGCTAATTATCCTGCTATTCATCTTCTCGCTCTTCATCCTAATCTCTCCACCCCTCCCTCCCACTCTCCTTACACTTCGCTGTATGTGCATATATGCATGTGTGTGTGTGTGTGTGTTCCCACATGTCTCTGTGTGCGCCTGGGCATGAATGTGTGTTTTCATGCATGTAAGATTGTTTATACGGAAGCTGTTAATATCATGATCTCTGCTTTACAAGACTGTCTCATTTAAAGTCCCATCAACAGAAACACCAGTCTACCGGAGTCAAACCCATTGGAAATCCCTGGACCAGAATTAAGCATGACATGTCTATGCCTGTGTTCACATCGCCAATCAAACAGGCTTCAAATCCTCTCTTCGTTCGGCTTTCTCTGTGTTTGTACGTGCATACGCATTTGATTAGCAGCAGTGGATCGGTTTGTTCTGTCTAATCCAGGTTGTCTACTATTACACTCTCTAAAAATAAAGGTTTAATGTTGACATCTATGGTCCCATGAAGAACTTTAACTGTCATGGAACCTTTTCAGGTTCTTCATAGTGGAAAAAAGTTCTTTAGATTTTTTAATAGGTTCTTAACCCTAAGGAAAAAAATGGTTCTTTTAAGAACTGTTTACTGACAGGTTTTTTGGGGGAAACCAAAGATGGCTTTTCTATGGCATTGCTGCAAAAACCCTTTTGGAACCTTTTTTTTTCGTATTCACACTAAATCAATGTGATTGCTCTGTTAGTACATTAAACAAATGAACCGAGACCCCCTGAAAAGATGGGTCTCTCGACTTGCTTACAAACAAACTCGGGTGCGGTTCAACTGAAAAATGAATGCAACATGGACCAAAAACATCAAAACTAACCAATCCCACTCTTTTCTCGTCATATGAACTATCATTATTAATACTGCTCGTTACAGTTTGGTACATTTGTCGGAACCGCCGTCTCCATTCATTTGTATGTTTACACATTTACATGCTGAATCCTTTACACATTTTTGTAACAAGTTCTTTGTGAGTTATCAGCTGCTAAAAATACCATCATATGTGCACATACATAAAACAAGCACATTTAGCTGAGTGCAGCATTGTTTTGGATGTTTGGTAAGTTCAGTTGCATAATATCATGTCATAAAATGTCATAAAAACTGTCCAATTAAGGTTGCAAACTTATCATTATGCCGTTTGTTTTGTATCATTAGGTTTGGTGTAAAAATGACCGTGTGAACAACAGGACTAAATATATTATTTTCTTGTTTGGTCCACACCAAGCAAACCAATAGAACCAAGAGAACCAAACTACAAGTGTGAACACATCCTAAGAGAGTATGAAGTCAAAACAAACAGGTGAGATTGTTCCATACCGATTTCCAAGTGAATATTTGTCGTCTTTATAGAATCTTCTCACATCTCCAGATGTCTCTGCCCAGGTAATTAGATCACAGCACTTGTTAAGCTAAAAGGAAAAAAAGGAGATAAGATTCCCTCTCTCTCGCCTCTCCCATTATGGTTTCTTTCTCCCCCAGAGCTATATGACTACTGTATCACGACTTGAAAGTTGAGGAAAGTCCTGAGCTTTCAGGAGGCATCAGAGAGCTGCTGTGCCCTGCGGAGAGATCGTCTCCGTGCTGCTAAGATGGAGGCCAGCGCCCTTTCATCCTCTCCTGCAGAAAGACTCTTTCATTCTCTCCAAGGTAATATGTCTAACAACATCAAGGTGAGGGAGATTGCAGATGCGGTGCAGGAAATTCTGCTGTGCAACTGGGATGCTGGAAGGAACAAAGAGTTAGTGAGAAAATATCAAACACATGGGGGATTGGTGTAATGAATTTAGATAGTCTATTTAGATACCTACGTCTGTGTTTGGGGAGAAAAGCCCAGCTTGAAGTTTCTCAAACCTGAATGGATGACCAGGGCCTTTCCTGATGAGAAATTAATGAGGTCTAGCAGAACCTATTAAAATGTGTCTCTCTGCTAAATATGATTTTCCTCTTTCAAGGTCATACAAGTAGCAGCAATTTAGATAAATGTGTACTCATGTAATTAAGCTGCGTCCTGTGTAGACACGGCTCAAACCTCACAGACAAGCAAATCAGTGACATCTTTAAACAAGAACAAAAGAGACTAACGGTATTAAACATGGACCAGGAAATTTACTATCTTCAGCAGAGTGAAGACCGTAGGGATCTGGGATTAAGTAAATTGAATTGAACTAAATGGAACTGGGCATACTGAGAAAACAGAAACACGTTCACTTTGTCAATTAGTTTGGGGGGCGGGTCTTGCATTTTGAATAGATTCATTTTAGGATGGACACCTTAGGCATTAAAATACCACTGAAAAAATTAGATTAGTTAAATTACAGAGCACATAGTCTTCTATTGTCGGCATCGCAGCAAACAGTACTACGTTAAAAAATAGTAAGCTGTTTTTAGTGCATGTGCACACCAATGCCTGTGTTTAGATCTACTTACTTCTTTAATACAGGCAGTTTCATGTCTGAGAGGCTGATTTTTAAAGCTTACAGGATACAGAATTTTTATTATATTAAGGTCACTTGAAAGCTGTTTTTCTGCCTTGAGTGTGAGTCTTTTTAGGACATTGGTTTTTTGAAAGTCCACAAGACATCAGTGCTCATAATTATAGTTACACCCCCATATAGGTGCGGGTGTGTCATTAGCATACAGTCACTTTTAGGAAGATGAATAGACAGACAGGCTGAGAGTGAAGCATGGCCTTTAGCCTCATAATCCTACTTACAATGCAGAGAGCCCTGAACTTACCAGAAAAACACTGCCTGTCTACCTCCTGCTGAGACCAGAGAATATGGGCGCTTGATGGCTGGTACGTCAGCACGTGGGGCCCACGCCAGTACAAACTCAGTCACACTTGAGAACAAAGAAACAGAAAAGGGACATTAACAAATATCTTTATATAATCTTTATATAATCAAACCCCCAAAAAGTGGGTTTTTAAATCACAAATAAATGATGTTACTGAAAAGCTGGCTGTCTGACAAAACATCTAAGGAAATGTAAAGAATTAACACTTTTGAGATGCTTTTCAAAGCAATTTTCACCCAGCAAACCTGAAAAATTACGGGTTATAGTGCAGCTGTTTGCATCAGGTTGTACAGGTGCTGAGTTATTTATGGCTCTTCTCTGTGATGTGGTCTAGTTGAAGGAGTGTCATTTATGCTATTCCTTATCTCTGTCCCGGCCTGTCAAACATACCAGCCTGCTGGCTCCATGTCGAGCGTTTGCATGTTTCAGAGATGGGAAGTTGTCAGGGACTGACGAGACAGGTGAAACAAAACCTACAAGCCCAATTCTCTGTTGAGTCTGTTTTCTTGTCAAAGAGCGACAGCTAATGAGGTGTGAGATATTCACCGTTGTGCTGTATGCCTAGATGAACTAGTTTGTCTCCTGTTCTGGGGGACAAATTGAATAAGAATCAGACTTTGTGCAGTGCACTACCATTCCATAGAGCTTTTCACACTGCGCTTAACACCTGGATCTAAACCCTGCTTTTATAACCCCGGGTAACATTTTACACTTGTAATTTAGAAACGGGGTTAGCACTGCTCTTTACCCGGGTTTATGGGGTGCCAAAGTGCACAGTGCTTAGCAAGATACATCCAAATGCGAACCTCATGCGTGTCACATGCTTTAGTTTGGACAGTCAGCGACACATCGCGCATTCTAAAAACAGTAGTTTCAGTATTTGAGGGGAAAGGGTCAAGTTGGTGATAGAAAACACATGAATTGGATTCAAGAATAGACTATTTTATTCTTACCATTGTAGTCCACCAAACAGACCATTCAGGAAAAACTTGACAGTACAGTCTACAATAGAAGAATGAATAGGTATCTGAGCTCCATTGCAATACATTAAAAACAAAATTACAGAACATTCTGTAATCATAACATTTAAACCTGTGAAAAAAATCTCAGAGATGACACACTTTCCACCAAAACACACCTATTCTGAGTGTATAGAAAAGAGCTATGATTATGCTCAACTATCTAGCCTGAAAATGCTAAACAAAAGAAAAGGGGGACACTGTCCATTAAAGCTGAATGTTTTCTCTGGCTGTAAAACTCTGCAGAAAGGCCACTAAGGACATACCATCCTCTCTTTCCACTGCATATCTAAGGGCAGGTTCAGGTAATGAAAACAGCAGTCGTATAACACAGACACGGGCTGAGACACCTGTTTGGAAGTCCACAGGGGAGGAAGAGCAGGTAATAAGCACCTGACACAGAGAGAGGCAGCTGTCAGAAACAGTGAAGCTGTCCAGAGGCCAGTATAATGAGGTGTAATTAAGGTCCAGCTAACTCTAGCCTGCGGCTGTCAACTGCCTATCATAATACATCTGCAGGACTCAAGGCCGGAAACAAGAGAAAAAAATAGGGTTTGAAATATTTTGTCAGATAAGTGCTGACCAATAAAATTATCAGCGGGCATGAGGAGTCCCATTGAGACAGCTGAAAAATGTGAGCAATAAAACGAGTGGAATATTCTGTCTTTTCGGAAAACACCAGTGCATTTCAGAAACTAAAATTATTTATAGAAATTCATAAAATTAATAAGTTATTTATTTAAGTTTATTACATGATTCTTAATTATTTAAGAAGTTAATAAATAGCATGGTTTATGCAAAAGAGGCTTCGTTTCGTCATTATGTTTTGAACCTTGTTTCGAAACTTTCCGGTGGTTCGCCGCTAGAGGTGAAAACACGAAACTGTGTCTAATGGTTTTAATTAATTGTAACAAACATGCATGCATAATTAAAAAGGTAGAGTGAAAATGGTTTCTAATTGGCCTTCTTAGTCAAGTATTGCCCAAAAACATAAAACAAGCACTACAAATAAAAAAATAATATAAATTAAACATACACTTCATAATCAATTGAATTCATTGACTTGCAGTTACACTTTCATAAAACATTAATTGGTTTGTAAAAGATGTCTTTTGGGTTGTGTTCAAATTTACTGTTTTGACCAGCAGGTGTCACCCAAGTGCAGTGTTTCGAGTGCATCCATTTCTTTTATTTTATTTTTTGCGGAGCAATTTGTTAAATTGATTGTTTGTTCAAATGTTTGTTGTTGCATTGTTTGTTCCATCTCTAATGATTTGTCCAGGCAGACCCATTTGTTCATGACTGCCATTACTTTTGTATCACACCGAAGACACACTTGTGTCATACGAAGTAGGCTACTTGGTGCTTTTGTACGTCGTAGTGCACTATTTTACTTAGCGGAAGCTTTAATACATGTAAGATTATATCCGTGTATTGGAAAATGTGAACTATTATATATATAATGCAGTGCCAACCCACCATCAATGGCATTGGAATGGAATTCATATAGTGGCACTGGAATGTAAGGGTGAGCAAAAGCCTGTGGTGGCAGAGGAACACAAAAGCACAGGCTGAAGCATCATGAGAGATGGATCCATTCCCATCAAGCTGGAAGACAAAACAGAGAACCACAGGGGAGCAGATGCAGTTGATTTATGTACTCTCCACCTTTAGACTGCAGCATGATGTGCAAAATAGGGTGAAAAAAAAGTGTCCTGAGGAAGAATAAGCAGAAAAAGAATGGAATTCTAATTCAAATTATCATGGTGAGGAATTTCACAAGACATATTTGATTCAACATACAATTTGACCTTTGACCAGTTTTAATCCGTGTATTGGAAAATGTGAACTATTATATATATAATGCAGTGCCAACCCACCATCAATGGCATTGGAATGGAATTCATATAGTGGCACTGGAATGTAAGGGTGAGCAAAAGCCTGTGGTGGCAGAGGAACACAAAAGCACAGGCTGAAGCATCATGAGAGATGGATCCATTCCCATCAAGCTGGAAGACAAAACAGAACCACAGGGGAGCAGATGCAGTTGATTTATGTACTCTCCACCTTTAGACTGCAGCATGAAGTCACAGATGTGCAAAATAGGGTGAAAAAAAAAGTGTCCTGAGGAAGAATAAGCAGAAAAAGAATGGAATTCTAATTCAAATTAACATGGTGAGGAATTTCATAAGACATATTTGATTCAACATACAATTTGACCTTTGACCAGTTTTAAGTTGTTTTACAGTATAAGTGTGATCAGAATACGATTTAGAAATGTGGAGAGGAAATTTCTTTGTCTTTCATTCCAGCAGCTTTGATGCTTTTTGTCTTTGCCTGCTCTGTTACAGAATTACCACACCCAAAAATGTGCGCGCACACAGATGCCCTCTTCTGGTCAGGTTGGAGTTAATTTTGAATATTCTAATATGTTATTGCTGTTGTATTTCATTTTTAATCATTTTAACCAGATTTAGCACAACATATAAAAATGTTACACTGAAAAATGCTTACATTAATTCATTTTGTCTATATATATATATATAGACAAAATATATGTAATGTTTTAAAGACTTACATACATTACATACATAAAATTACATAAAGCAAGACAGTAACGTCTCATTTTAAGGAAGACTAGTTGGCATTTCTTCAGATATTTATTTATATATTACATATTTTTTATTTTAAAAATACAAGGATTCATTTAAAATTCAGAGTGAGCATCAGCAAAATGTATTAAAAATATATAATAAATAATTAATATGTATATATATATAATATGTATTAAATGTAATAAAATATGTATCAAATATGATATACTATATATACAATAAAGGCAAACAAAAGATGTGTACTTACCCATCTGATTAAGAAAGCATATGTATATGGAGGTCGTATATTGGCATATTTGTAGTATTCAACACTGCTGACAAAATCTGTAATTGCCAGAAAACCAAATTACTAAGAAGCAAAACATTGCACAATATTCTTGGTAATTGATCACAAACCCTCATACGTGCATTGTGCCTTAAGTATGTCGCTGAGTTTTGCTGCAAGTGCAAAACGTACAGCCGTGTAACGGCTATGAGTCAGTCATTTTCGATAATATACTTGCGCAATACATCTAGCAAATGCAAAATTAAGGTTTTATAATAGACAGCCTATGAGAAAAACTCCAGCTGAGTACGTCTAAACTACATTTGCTCCAGGCCTTAGGCTTCCTTTGTGGTCTGCTGGCATGCCAAGTGTGGCAACAGGAACCAAGCAATGTCACAGCTTCAACTGTAGTCATAGTGGTAGACCACCAACTTTCTACTGTCTGGCCAACAACATAAACACATAAAGCGAAAGGAAGTAAGAATAAGATTCACACTGTAAACAGCAGTAGATGGTGACCTTTACTAACCTGTGTATTTTCCAACCACTTCAGCGTCTGCATTTCAGTTTCACTTGATTGGATTTTTCTAATGACACTTCTTAGCTAGATTGTGTGTGGTTAGGGGCACAGCAAGATGTGTATTTTGGATTTAAGCAGGTTTTACCTGGCAGCAGGTATGGTAGGGGTATGTGCCAGGGTTCCTGTCGTACTGGTGCTTCACTAGCTCTTTCTGTCCTGCCATCTGGCTCCCCCACCCGGGGCAAATTTTGTGCCAGCGGCCTCCACCAGCCTGTAGCAACTCCCTGAATGAGAACACACAAGAGAACACACCTACATATGAGAGCGATATTGAGCACAGATATGGTTTTCCGTAGACGTCTTAAGATACGACTTGTTCATCTGCACTTTCTATAAATTTACTGACGTTTCATGAAGTCACAAAAAGGAAATGTCGTGTTCACTGTGAGAATCGCTATATCTAGACGCTCTCATGAAACTTGTGGCAGTGTCAGAGTATTCTGAAGAGTCTTACGGTACGCGTCGAGATGCATTCAAACAGATGAAGGTGAAGTTGCATGGCGTGAAGTTTCTGCTTCTCCTGAATGAGCTGAAATCATCACATATAGCTTGTTAGAGCCAGTGGGTTTTCAAACCACTGTTACCAAGACGTTTGATTCTTTTGGGTTCACACTCAATGACTCAAAACCAATGAAACCATGATTCACTTTCTTGTGCGTCATTCATGATAACTGATGATGATCAATGATGCAAAGCGTGATTTGTGTGTGCTGCCCGTGAAAGACTATATCACTGATGTACCTGATTCTCCATGTGGCGTACCAGGTCTTGCTGAACTCGCCACTGTGCAATCGTTTTCTCATCTGTGCTGTGGTCTCGGTTCAGATGTCTAGACAGGATGAGAATCAAAAGCTGTGCTCTAAAGTTTGAAAATGATCAATTCCAACAAGGAAGGCTTGCTGATGTTACTTCAGATAGTAAAAAAAAAACTTATAGACTTACCTCAGAAAATGTGTATACCCTTCAAAGACTTTGTCACAGCCTGGCCAGCGACATTGTCCGTTTACAAAAAAAGAGTTGGATCTCTGGATTTCTGACTCGACTGGGCTGAGAAGGACACATGAGGGACATCAAGATACTTACTGATGAACATTTAATACCATTACAATTTTATTTTCTTACCTGTACTTACCTGTGAGAATGAAAGCTGGAAGATTGTTTCCTGTGCTGGCTTGATCCAGAAACAGCTTGGATGGAATTCTGCGCACTGTGACCTGTGTCTTTTCTTCTGTTCAAGGCTGTTGGGTTGCTCTCATTTGCTAAAGAATAAGGCAAAATAGTGCACACTTTAAGTACTTTAACAAATTATTTTTTTCAGCTATTTATTATATTATATTGTTTTTAAATTAGTAAAATACACTATATAAATATATGTATAAAAGATGTTTTTAAAACTATAAATCTCAACTAAAATCATTTAAATTGTCTTTAAATTATGTGTGTGTGTGTGTGCGTGTGTTAATATATTCTATAATATATATTATATTAACAGTAATAAATAAAATAGTATATCTAAATATATAATATACTGTATAACATTACATATAAATACTATGAATAATACACTGCAATCACAGCATAATAAAATATTGATCTTGACAGTTGTGGTCAAACATTTACACACCCCTTGCAGAATCTGCAAATTATTAAAAAATTAAACATAACAACAACAACAATAATTATTATTATTGTTGTTGTTGTTGTTTGCAGAGTTATTTGTGTAAATTCAGTTAGTACTATTCAGTTAGTACTACATAAAAAATAACCTGCAATTTTAATGATCACTCTTTAAAAATAAATTTTTTAAATGAGCATTTTGAAGATTCTACAAGGGGTACAGAAACATATGACCACAACAGTATTATATAAAATAACTACATTGTTAAACAGCACATCCTTCAGCTGCCCTTTTCTCTTCTGAAACTCTTCTTCGTCCACTGTCCACACCGCCCCTGTCCTCCCGTCCACCCGCACAAAGCATTTGTGGAGACTAAGATTGTGTCGCACAGCATTCTGAGAAAAAGGTTGAAATAGCTGTTAATCAGAGAATGTAATTGATATTCATATGAAACAGGTCTACTGCCATTATTCAGTATGATCTTATGTCAAGAGCTCCACCATGTGGACATAAATATAAATAAATATATATAAATGTCAGGCCAATCTCAGGATCTAATAAATAAACCTGCTCAAGACTGGAGGTTTTTTGTTTTAATTAAGCTAATTTATATGGCATTAAATAAGACGCACAAGCACAATATGATTCAAAAATATTATTATACATATTATACATTTTAATATTTAAAAAATGCTTAAATTGAGTTTCAAACTGAACAGAAATGGGACTGTCTCCAGATCTCAAACTGATGGTTAGTTGGCAGTGTCAGCATGTTTAGTACCTTCCATGTAGGAGGATTGTGACGGAAGTAGAAGAACATTCTTGTGAACCAGTTGTAAATTTCGTTTAGCGTCCGTTAGTACTATTCAGTTAGTACTACATAAAAAATAACCTGCAATTTTAATGATCACTCTTTAAAAATAAATTTTTTAAATGAGCATTTTGAAGATTCTACAAGGGGTACAGAAACATATGACCACAACAGTATTATATAAAATAACTACATTGTTAAACAGCACATCCTTCAGACAGAGTTTATGTTTTGTTTTTATTTATTTTGAAACCTTTTGAGTTGAAACACTTTGAAACAATTTGAATTAGTTGTATGCAATGGCAGTTTTGTGATTTAAAATGCCTTTGCTCATCATAACATGTAAATATATGGAATATAATGATACCTCTGAGGATTTCACCACTTTGACTATGTCAAGGAAAAATGTGAAGTTTGAATAATTCATTGGAACACAAACCCTGAAGCAGGAGAGCCGGAGAGCGAAGTACAGATGGCCTGATTGGGCCAGACTGAGAATTCTGAAACACCAGCTGAAGAAACTGCAACCGTTCCTCATCAGCAGCTCTCTGCACACAAACACACAGAGAATCAGGCCAACACAATAAAGGCCATTCACCGAGAGCTACAGCACATTTGTACTATAGCTTTTAAACATCAGTAGTTTATTAATGTACCTGGCACAGAGGATGTTTTATTTGTGATCAGGACAAACAGAAAATAAAAATTATAAACATTAAGAACAAATATATATACAAATATAAATGTATAACATGTAACAAAAAATACACATAGCAAGAAAATTAACAACAATTTTATTAAACAAAATACTTCTATACAGAAAACTATTTTGAATCTCCAGAAAATGCAGTGTAAATTATATGCAAACAACCTACAAAGGGATGTCGTCCTTTTTAAGGCATCGTTACAGAAAGTACCAGAGAATAAAGCTCACTCACACAACGTACCCCAGAAGAAAGATGTTCCACGGGCCGTGGTGAAGAAGATTTGTATAACAGAGGGGGAGATGCATCCCGCTCTTCTTTTAGTGGTGGCTCTCGTTCATTTTCTCTCCCACTCACTCTTTTGTCTCTCTCAGATTGAGGCATTCCTGAAGTCAAGAGTTTGAAAAAGATTGCAGATTGATGTACAGAGTTGCAAACTTGCACATTACATTTTAATTTTACATAATATATACTGTAGGAGAGACAATGAAACATTTACCTGAATGTTAGCTTCTTAAATTTATCTTTAAGGTTAACTTAGCATTGTATTTTCCTGTATTAGGAAATATGATCGCTTAAAAAAATCTAATCTCAACATTTTTGATGAATGGCTATGGTATTTTTAATTTGGTAATTTTATCAATATTCATGAGATTTAGTCAGCTGAAACAGTTTTGATCTAAATTTTTGTCTCTGGAAAATAGTAATCAATAACATTGTATTATGTTGAAAAGCAAAGTTTTTTGTGTGTCTACTTGTTAATGAGGGATCTATGGTCACATTAATGCTTTTTGATTTGTGGAGTACAATATACAGTTTTTATTTTGAAATAAGAAGAATTAGACCCTTGGGGTAAGATGCCCACCCTCTAAGTGGCAAGTTGTTACTAGTGTAACTATTTTTACATTTAATACTTATTGTAATTAATGGGATTATTATTCAGTATTTTCATTAATTAGATGAAAATACTGGATATCTTCCTTTTCAGTAAAACCTGTAGGTTAATTGAGTGAAATCATTTCATTTGAATTCATAGTGTTGCTATTGTGACATATCTTCCATTATATATATAATGCATTTACCTTTCAGATGGATCTCTCTTACTGGGATTCTGCTTTGTCGGTTATTCAGTTATTCAACATAGAATATTTAATTTAGTATTTTACATTAATGACACTTTAAATATGAATAAGAAATTATATCAGAAGTAATTTATACATTCTGTAAATGTTTACCCCTTCTTACCCCCAGTAGTGAAGCAAAATGGCCTCTTTGAATAATTTTACATTTTGTGCTAAAACAACTAAATTAGCAAATGTTTCTACTTATTTCCCATAATACCACACTGGCATCATCCTGCACATGCTAAACTTATATCTAAATATGTTACAGTTTAAAGGTAAATACAGACTGTTCTTAAGGGGGATATCGTTAACCATCTTACCCTGCATCTATGAAATTTACTGAATTTAAAAAAAAAAGTTCTGTTTTATATATCAGTACACAGACCCCTTCAGTACCTTCATGAACCCCCGGGAATGTGTTTACCTGATAGAAATTAGTTGGAAATATATGCAAACATGGCCACACCTAAAAAGTATACTATAGAGAAGGCAAAAGAAATACTATTGGCATCTCACAGAAAACCAAGAGGGAACAGAAGAATGGAGCCGGTATAATTACATGAAATTCGACATGCATGTAAGGAATGTGAGTTCTAGGAACACAGACTCTAATGGCGGAGTTTTCCTGTAAGCACCAAAGGGGTGAATGAGGAAAGCAAAGCGAGTGACTGGTATTCTCTTTGTGAATACATATTTTACAGTAGTCACAAGACCATTATTATTTCTGACAATCTCTAATCTCTAACTTTCCTATTTTATGTTAAAGTCTCCAAAAAAGCCTAAACATGTGAGTTGCTTGAATGCATACCCAAAACATGCATGACATCTATCTGTCATACAAGACACAAACCTCTCCCACCTCTCAGGAAACCACAGACACACACTTTGCATTTTGCAAAAACATGCACGAAAGAAGCAACCCAGGAACAGGATAAGGGATATAAGACAGCGATAGAATGTGGTTGGTGGTGTTATTGAGCCTGAGCTGAGATCAGTGCATCTATAACAATAAAAAGATGTTTTCATGCACTCCTCTACACTTTAAACAAACATCGAATGCAAGCAAACATGAAAATTCAGTTAAAATTTATTTTCATTTCATCTATTAAGAATAAAAATAAGAAAAATGACAATACTTTCATTAATATTCCAAGTCATTTGCTTTTCCTGGCAATGTGAGGAGTGTCTGGCACTCCATATGTAATTTTGCTTTCAGGTTCACACCACTCAGCGATGGAATATTACTCACTATCTCACTTGATCATTTTTCCTCTTTTCACATACATTTTACCTGCCTCACAAGACATAATCTAAATGAAACTACATATGGGCATCAATATTTGTCAGCTACTTTCCATTCCATCTCTACCACATGAAAGTAAAAAAAAAAAAAAAACTTTGTTCGTAAAATAAGGATGTTATCCGCGAAGATTTGAGAAAAAACAAAACAAAATGACTCACAGTGACCATAAATTGATCTGTTTTATCCTCCCACTTTCATATTTCCAACGTTTGAGTATAGGCGTACATGCAGTAAAGATAAACAGTAAATAATTTCAATAATCTCAATTTCATATGCGACATACATAGTATCATAATCATTTGCTTTACAACAAGGTTAAAATATTATTCAGCCATGCAACGCAAGTGTTCAAATTAAAATTTTTTTTAAAGAATTATAATAGTCCTATGATTTGAAAATGTTTTCCCTGGGAAATGAGCGTTCATTAGCACCAAATTAGAATCTTCACAAGCAATTAAGTCCCGACATACATCTCATGTGCATGCAGGTAATGTGAATTCAGATTTGAGTATCCATACAAATTTTTGATAATTTGGAAATATCGTAATCCATAGCTGTCTCATCTAAGGCCTGCATGGAATACTTTGTCATCAAAGTTATCATTAAATGACAAGCAGTATTAAATCAAGCATATTTCAGAAACAAGTACTGTAAGTAAATATTCACCAAGAAACAGCGTTCTTTACCTTGCACCTCTGTAGTCAGCCGTTGTCTTCCTGTGCTGTTCTGGTTAAAAACGAGAGTGAAAGGCTCTTTATAGGATAAAAATATAAATCTGAAAAAAGACAGATAAAATCTCACATCAAAGGAATAAATGCAATGGTAGATTCTTCAAATTGTATCAAAGGTCATAGATCACATGCAGATGGCATGCAGCAATATTATTCTTCCGTGAGTGGCAAAGGACACTCTAGAGACGAAAGACCATCTAACATGTCAGTCTGCAGAGGTTGAGCACAAGTTTTCTTGTGGAAGATGAAAGGCAATTCATGCTACTTTAAAAAAATTTTTATGTTAAATGTTATGTCTTTCTGTCCCCCAAATGTTTCACTATGATAAGTAAGCACAATATTAACAGGAAAAATGTATGCTCTTTTACATGTTAAAGTTACCTAGGAATTTAGAGACAAAATATTATTTACAGATTGTTGTTGTTTTGTTTTTGTTTTTTTACATATGAAAACAAATGATAAAAAGTAATTTAATTAAATGTTGTGCTACTTTATAGCCTATGACATAATTATTAGGTAATAAAATAATTTATACTATGTCTTACAATTACAATTACAAGAAAAAAGTCACAAATGAATTACAATATATGATCTGATGCCAAAAGATTTTTTAAAGGTTTTTCTTTATATAAATATATATATATATATTACAATATATATATATATGATTCACTGGTCTATGTGATCTATCATTTCATTTTTTCCAGCATAGACAAAAAATAAAAAATGTTTTCCAAAACATGAGCAATAATTGTATCAGGCAACACATCAAATTAATAGTTTCCGCAGAGCTGTAGTGCATTTTAAAACTCACCTGAAGTCGCCACCTTCCCACATAGAATGTGTCATTGCCCGTCAGTATCCAGCACTTATTTATACTCAGAAAATACTCTGTGTCATCACAAAGGAAACAAACAACACTGTGAGGGTATTCATAAACAACTCGCTCCAAAGACCAGGTGCTTACATGGCATCAAACAGTATGTCAAAAGCATAATTAATAAAGAAATAAATATCATACAATAATGTGTCCCACACATAATTTTATCACTGACCTTTAAGAGACTTTTACGTTTCCATTTACTTTTCAATCATCTTTTGTGTATCGTTTTGAATATACAATAATGTGATTTACACACGTTTAATCGCATCATTTTTTTGTCATTACAAAAACAACAGTGACATCGACAATAATCATTTTATTATTAATAATAAATATCATCATCATAAAGTCTCATGATCATTCTCATTTTAACTGTAAATTTCTTTCCCTCCAATGTTCTCTTCTGTATTAAGAATTGTAACCAGAATATAAATAACAATTGCTCCCTGGAAATTACATAAATGTGAAATCAATGCATGATTCTTAAAACTTATGCAGGTAATTCTATGTATATTACATGCAATATTCACTGCAACCTTTTGTGTCACTTTTATAAGAAAATAAGAGAGAACCGTGAAGGTGAAATCAGCATCCGTCATATGAAGAAAAGAATGCGTTAACAATTTCCTACTGTTGTGCCATAGTTCAAATGAAAGTTACTTTATTGTCATTTCTCTCCTACAGTATGTGGTAAGAAGACACATTGTCACAATGTAGAACAAAGGTATCAACAGCCAAAAGCATAATAATAATAGTGATGTAGACAGCCGACTGCATAATGACATCTGACAATCTTTAATAAAAGGATGATTCACCCTAGAAACGAAAATTCTGTCATCATTTACTCACCGTCATGTTGTTCCAAACCTGTATGGCTTTCACACACACACACACACACACACACACACACACACACACACACACACAAATTAAAATAAAAAGTCCACTGTCCATACAATGAAAATCCAGTGATGTTTGAACCCCAGCATTCTTCATAATATCACACAGAATGTCTCACATGTTTGGAACGACATGAGGGTGAGTTAGAAATTTGAACATTTTCAGTTTAGGTTGAATTATCTCTTTAATATCTTTGCTGTGTGTTTTTGTCAATATATTTTCTTCATTTTACAGTGTAATATATTACAGTATAAATTATCCTTAGTGAAGATATTGTTGCACTTTCAAACACTTTCAAGCTGAAGAAAATCCCTGGAGGATCAACTAAACAAAGTGCATTGATTCACTTGGCAACCATTAAAATCTTTAAGCTAAGATGCCCAGAACTGCAACATGTTTGACCCTTTTGTTCTTTAGCAGTAAGGCTGCTATTTTTAAAGTATGATATTTTCTTGGCACACATCTGTATGTTTCTGGTTATCTGGATATCTGCTGGATATTTTTTTTTTTTTACACAAATATGAGTCGAATGTGTTTTAAGTATGACTCAGTATTTCTTATTGTAGGTGTTCTCTGATTCAGTGGATTCAGATCCGTTTGTAGGCGTAGAAGATTGATTCTACATTGTAGTGTTGCCACTGAAACAACATGACCCAATATTCATACGTGAGAATTATCACACGAAGTACCAACCAGTGCTGACCAAAGCGCAAATGCTGTTGTCGAAATGTGAAACTGTCTGGGATTTTGAAAACTGGGTCTCAGTGTTTTGTTATAGCCTATATGTGAAACTTTGATCTGAAATTCTAACAACCGGCACGCATTCATCAACAGAACTGCAGTGTTTAAGGCTTTCAAAAACTCTGCTTACCACAGCTTCCACTGTAACACCAATAACCGACCGTTAGTGAGTGACCTTTCTAGCAGAGAACCTCATACTTTAGTTTTCTACTCTGAGGTGGGTTTTGCTTAGGCTACAACACGTTTAGTGCAGATATTTAAATCTTTTGCTTTTGCATAGGAGGATGTGATCTCTTAAGTATTCACTTTTGGGGCGTATTTATTTATAATAAAGCACACTGCAATAAAGCTGAATCAACGCATCCAATTCAAACTGAGTAAACTTAACTGGCTTAATATAAAGCAAACAACTACGAAAACGGCTGCTACAATCTCACAGACACACACACACACAAAAATTACATTTACATAAATGGGACTGTCCTCACAAGAGCAAATGACAAGTTTGTTTTGATGAGAATTCTTATTTTTGTGGTTGGCAAATGTCACACATGCCATGTTCTGACTTCTGATAAGCCGCATTCTGATTTCCTCTGAAAGCCGGGCGTCACTCAAAATCGACAGTCACACGATTTTACATGCCTTTAAAAATTTGCACAGATAAACACTTTCACTGGAACGAGTGACAAACGCTCTTTCTAATTACGGAAAGGAACTCTCACTTATCACAAATAAATCTCTTTAGAATCAGTGAACAATTTCCATGCTTCACTTCTATATATTATTGATTTATATCAGTAGGCTATAGACTATTCTGTTATTTGCACTAGGCCTTGCATTGAACAGATGAACTGCATTATGGGTGAGGGATGGATGCTGAAGCAGATGAAGTGGAGGTTAATTCATTCTAAACCTTTTGAATCACTTCTATAGACTATGAAACACATATAAATAAACAGTTTTTGCCCCGAACTGGCCTTTGAGGTATCTCAGGGTGAAGAAATTGATTAGCACAGGAAAGTAAATATTAAGCACTCATCAACAGACGAGAGAGGTTTCAGGCATTGTGCTATTATTTAAAAAAAAAAAAAATCATAAAAGGTTATTGAATTCAGAAGTATGTCATGTGACAAAATTCTATTAGGCCTATAAAATGACAAACACTGCAATTATGAATATGTGGTAAATGTTTTATAGAAATTGATATTGTATAAAATGTAATATTATTTTAAATATCTTTCTATATTTGTTATATTATATTATTTTAAAATAACACAAAACATTTATTCAATAATTATTTTTCATTTAGCCTATTCAGCCATTATACCGTCACCAGAATGGCTCCACCACAAAAAAAAAGAAAGTAGTCACCATACCATATCACACCACAAAAAAAAAAAAAAAGTTTTTTAAACCACTCCACATTGTCATCGGTGTCTTTACGGTGATTAAGAACATTAGAAGACAAACTAAGTACAGTAGCGATCTATCGTTCTGCACACTAGAGGGCTCTATTGCACACGTAGTGTCCTTATTCATTTAAAGTAAATGAGCTTTTTCTACTTGAGGCTAATGCTAAGTGATTTAAGCTATTATAGTCCTAAGATTATTAATAAAAATATATAACATTATTTTAAAAATCATAATAAAAGGTGATGATGATCACATACCAGATTATATAACAATGTTAAGGGTATATTTAGCCTTGTTATGTGAGGTAACAATGTTCAACTTTAATGTCCGATAGCCTATATCATCTTTTCATATCAGTGACCATGATTGCACTAATGCAGTGCTATAAGCATCACATAAGAATCGTCTTACCGTTAGAAAGGGAAAGCATGGGCATTGATTCATCTCTGACTGATAAAATATTTAAATTGTATACCTATAATTTTGCTGCTTACAAATGATATCAACGTTTAAAAATATTACCAAATACGCCTTTTTTGTACTTTCATTCCTTTCAGGTGACTGATTGTGTGTCCTCAGGTCGGTTTTCCCTTTGTCGGGTAAGCCCATCTGTTCCTGCGGCTTCCAGCGGTTCAGGCAGCTGTTTGGCCAGGCATGAGGGCACGCAGCGGATCGCTGTGTCACGCAGAGACAAAACACCTTTTTACCAGGAAGTTACAGATAGATTAAACGCTCACACACCAAGCGCCTACTGATTGAGCTGGTTTACAACATTCCTCACTTCAGTCAAAAATGTGCCAAAGACCCAAAAGCCATGGAGGTGAGACGGGAGTGCTGTAAAGACATTCTGGGACAATACCCTAAGATAGCCAAAGCCCTTAAAGTATAGGCCTACATATTAGTACATTAAACATAGGCTATAAGTACTTTTAAAGTATATAAAGCACAACCAATTTATTATTATTAGGCCTATTATTAAAAATAACAATTACGGAATAGGTCTTTTTTGGACTTTTAATGAAATGTACTTATTGTTGGGCTATGCTATCCTCCATCAGCCATCCTGATTAATTTTACTTCAAAAAGGTAAACAAATATGAAAATGTTATTGAAAATAATGAAATGACAGGCCTACTGATATCTCTATATATGCCATATTTTTGAGCGAAAAAAATGCTAATTTTATGTTTTTGAAAACACTGGCCATTTAAAAGTTGTGGTTATCTATGTGACTTCAGTGCACCACTGTGACTATGTTGGCGAGAACAGCGTCAATTAGGCTGCCGAAAAATCCCGAGACTTTTCCGAAGGCATCCGATCCAGAGAAAACTGAGGTAGAGCGCAGAGACGGGAGCCGCTGTTTCCAATTCACCATCGCAGAAGAACCCATTTCATTTCGTTTATTTTTCGTTACCATTCTTAATTTCAGCGATGGCACCAGGATACTAACAATCATGGCGAATTCCCGAGCAAAGAATCGGGTCTGACTGCCATGTGTGATCCATCTTTTTTGCGCCTTGCATCACAGATCGTACCAGGCTTATGTATTTTAAATATATAGGGCGCTTACATGTACTGTGTACATGTCTCCTCATAGAATGACTACAGTATGTGAGACAACGCTGATGCCAATGGATATACCGAGGGATGATGCGTGATAAAGCGGATTTATTCCCTTCGAAGATAAGATGTGTATCGGTGTGGCGTGGGAGAAAATGTCTTTGGCTCCAGCCAGAAAATGAAGATGGGAAGAAGCGCCTTGTCCTGCAGCCCAGTAGCGAGAGACAGTCGTTATTTACACATCTAAATCTGCGTACAAGATAATGATACTGACGCTGTATCTCAGGATTAAACGGTACCACAAAACACAGATGAAATAGAGTAATTGTGCTATTAAACTCTGCTTGATTTA